CCCGCCCACGCACACCCACACACACACACACACACACACACGCGCACACACACACACACACACACACACACACACACACGCGCACACACACACAGTAAAACGGTCTGATGATTTTGTCTCCAACTACTCACAGATTGACTCACTCGGTGTTACATCTGAGCATGTTTACTTCAACACAAAGGTGATACTCGCAGTGAGCTATTAGTTTTATGAATGGCAACAGGTGTATAAACAAGTTTATTGTCACTTTTCCCATATCATGGAAGACCACTGCATATTTTTTTGTACCTGTCACTATACTGCTGTCGAAGATGCACTTAATTAACTCGTCGGTCAGATGAAAAACTCCTCCGAAGCACGACTCGGGTGTGCCAGTAATTCCTTTTTTTACACTGGCCATACCCAACTTCCGTAACAAATATTCAACAAAGGGATACAAAAAATGGGTGCAATGTATCATGGGATAAATTGTGACATCCTAATCAGATGCCCGAGCCACCTCATCTGACTCCTCTCGACGTGGAGGAGAAGCAGCTCGACTCGGAGCCCCCCACCGGATGACTGAGCTTTTCACCTTATCTCTAAGGGAAAGGCCGGACACCCTGCGGAGGAAACTCATTTCGGCCGACGTATCCGGGATCTCGTTCTTTCGGTCACAACCCACAGCTCGTGAACATAGATGAGGGTAGGAACGTAGATAGACCGATAAATCGAGAGCTTCGCCCTTGGCTCAGCTACATCTTCACCATGACAGAACGATACAAAGTCCGCATCACAGCCGACGCTGCACCGATCCGCCTGTCGATCGTTATTTCTCTGTGCCATAAAATACGGCTTACCGGAGCCGAGTGCATCGGGCATGGGCAAATAGTTGAAGAGTGAGCTACTAATTATTAGCTATGTTCCAATATATTTGTTTGAAATGTGCCTCCTTCTTCTTCAGCTAATAACACAATACTATTAAGGTAACACAGGAAGCGTCTGCAACGGCATCTCCAAAGTCACTTGCTCAAAACATCCATCCATCCATTTTGTCATCCGCTTATCTTTCCAAGTGCTGGAGCCTATCCCAGCTGTCCTGGTGTAGTGGACTCGTACATTCAGTGTGTGTCCTCTTCTCAAATTCGTGCTTTGTTTGCACAGGTTCGCAACTTTTAAGATTATCATACAAATAAATCAATGCAAGATTTTGTTTTTTTTTACCTAGTTGAATAAAGGATATTGATGGATTGATTGATAATACAATACAATATAACTTCATTGATATAGCGGATTTCACAACAGCTGCAGTTGTAACAAAGCGATTTACATATTACATAATAGTATAACAATAATCCAAATAAGAGTTGTTGAGAAAGGATGGGTTTTACTTGAGCCAGTTGCCTTCGATGAAACAAGCTGGATTCAACAACAGAACTGATTTGTCCAATTTAAAATAATTGTTCAATTTCAAAACCAAATCCGAGACTGTTGGCTTTGGATAAGATACAAGAGATCTGTCCTGTACTCTAACATACTTCTCCGCCATTCCAGACTTCTTGGTGCTGTCCCGAATCTACTTCCACTTCCACAAGTCCTTCCCACAACTTCATTGTGTGGCTCATCAACTTGATTCCTCGATAGTTGTCGGAACAATGCACATTGCCTTTGTTCTTGAAAATAGGCGCCAACGCACTCTTTCTCCATTTCTCAGGCTTCTTCTCACCAACCTGCTCAAAAACACCACAGGAACGACTGCCTTTCAATGATTCATCCTTTTTAGTGCCTTTCTAACTTCTTCCTTGCCAATCATTGTTACTTATTGATCCACCACAATTGTTTATTTTAGTTTTCCTTCTCTGTTATTTTCCTCATTCATCGACTCCTCCAAGTATTCTTTCCATCGATCCAGCACAGTATTGGCAGTAGCTAAAACATTTCCATCTCGATCCTGAATCAACCTAACCTGCTGCACATACTTTCCATCTCTATCTCAACAAGATCTTTCTCGCATTCTATGCTGTCCAATCTGGCATACGCGTCATCATATAATGTGCCTCTTTTAGGGCCTTTGCCACCCCTCCATTTTCTTAACCGTTTATCCCAGGGGTCAGCAACCCAAAATGTTGAAGGTGCCATATTGGACAAAAAAAAACAAAAAACAAATCTGTCTGGAGCCGCAATTAAACAAAAACCTTCTCGAAGCCTTGTAATGAAGGCAACACATGCTGTATGTATCTATATTAGCCGACAACCAAAATGACGAAGTTGGCTACAAATACTATATTTTTCCCTGCACTGCATCCTGTAGAGCAGGGGTGTCCAAACTTTTTTGACCAAAGATCTACTTTTCGATCAACCAACCTCCCGCGATCGACTCGTTACCACACACGCGCGCATACACACGCATTTACACACGCATGCCTACCTACCTTCATCGAGACCAGACGTGGAGGCATTTGACACACTTTTGCATCGTGTTACCCAGGGGCGTCACTAGGTTTCAAGAACAAGGGGGGCTTAGCCCCAAGGGGAACACAGCCCCTTTAGGGGGGTCCGGGGGCATGCCCCCCCCCCCCGGGAGAATTTTTTTCTACATTCTGTTAAAAATCCATCAATTCCGTGCACTTTGAGAGCAAAATGAAGAGGCTATGAAGAACTACACACATCACATTAGTATCCTCTTTACTATGATGGGGCTTCCTCCCCTGGACTTTAACTGGACTAGATAATAGAAATTATAAAGAGTTCAAAAGTTCAATCTTGGTTGTTCAAGGGAATTAGAAGGATGCCCGATAACATAACCTATATGACAGTAGGCCTATATTCCTCTCTACCAAAATGTATTAATATATGCTTAGCCCCCAGAAGACTATGTATTTTGAGATGTCTGCCGCGATATGCAATTTAAGTTAGTACAATGAGATGCAAAAGCTTCGTCACTTTGGAAAAACACAAGTTTGCTGCCCAATACTTACTGTAAGCTCCAATTGCATTTTGGGAACAGCCTTGCAAGTAAAATTAGCCTTGAGATCTGACAGACTCACCTGTCCAGCAGAGCCCC